CTCAGTGGGTTAGGTCTGTGCCTGTGATCGGAAGGTTGCCAGTTTCAATCCTGGCCTCAGCAGAATAGTTGCTTGTCCAATGGGCCCTTTAGTTGGACCTTTAACCCTACAAAATGCTGGATAGGCTTGGACCCAAGCTTATCTGTGAACTGCGCATATGTCTGTGTGTGTGTGTGTGTGTGTCTGTGTGTGTTTGCTGCATTCACATTTGAGGACCAAATTGTCCCCAAAGTGTAGTGAAACCTGAGATTTCCCTACTTTTGGGGACATCTTTTAAGGTCCCCATTTGGATAACCTCAGTTTTATAAACATTTCCCATAGAAATGAATGAACGGTCCCCATTTAGATAGGAAGACCACCTTTTTAAGTGTGTGTTTGTGTGTGTTTTTCAAAGAAAATAAAAGCAAATAAAGCATCATTTCACTATAATCCACAGAAATGCACTATTTCTGGTGTTGAAGTACTGATCCTATCAATATCTGGCACTGGGGTACTGATCCCATAACACTAGCACTGTGGTACTGATCCTATAACACTGGTACTGGAGTACTAATCCTATAATACTGGCACTGGAGTACTGATCCTATATCACTGGCACTTGGATACTGATCCTATAACACTGGCACTGGGGTACTGATCCTGTTACACTGGCACTGGAGTACTGATCCTATAACACTGGCACCCTTTGATGCCTTTGGATTACCAGATGCTAAATGAACAACCACTGAGCTAAAGCTCAGTGCCATAAAGTCAGCCATGTTGCAACACCAGCAATGAGTAAGTATGATGCCAATCTGCAGGTTTGCGTAACAACATTAGTTAAAAGCTACGACCTCGTGTTAGTTACCCCACAGGTTCATCAACATTAACATATCACTGATGCACCCTGGGAAACAATGCAAGAGAAACCACCGTAACAGAAGAAGATACCTAATGATTATCACAAACTATTTTTCTAGTAACAGAAATGCAGCTGTAAAATGCATGTGTCTGTTATCACTATAGTGAAACGATAAATGTTATTTGCAGAATGACTGATGGGGTTTTTACAGATAAGTGCCCTGCTAACTCTGGATATGTTGAACAACATCTTCCGGTGTCAGAGATGAACTGCATTCAAAGTGTGAATTACACCCACCACACTTTTTTTGTCACTCACACACAAACACACACACATCTGTATTCACATCATTGTGGGAACTCTCATTTCTATGGGTAAAACTCTAATCCCAACAATGACGACCTTAACTCCTACCCAGCCCTAACCCTAACCATAAGTAACGTTGAAATAACAGGTTTCTACCATATTGTGGTGACATTTGGTTCCCACGATGTAATATACACATAACCCACACAAACACACCTAGTGCACTGGTTTTGCTCATTGGAGTGATGCATGGCAGAGTTTTGCCACGATGTAAACACACCCAGCGTCCCACTTTCGGCAGAGTGACCTTGCCATTAACACCAATTCACATCAGCTCGCCGCATTTGCACGCCTGCGAGCCGCCACAGTGCCAGTCACAGTGATACTACGCCTGCTGGGCGTGCTGGTGGAGGCCATCCAGACAGACGCCACGCCCTGCGTGTCAGCTCCCTTTGCATTACACCACAGGCACTGCTACCATAGTGCTAATCGATAGCCCTAACCCCAACTCTTACCCTAACCTTAACCCCGCAAAACCCCTTACCTTAACCCTAACCCCAAGACGGTGGAACTGCACATGCGCAGAAAGGCTCGGTAGCACGTCTCGATAGGTAGTATTGTATGACAGAACACCGGCAGTTCACCGGAGGCATTCTGTGAGCTTACGTCATTTTCAGTAAGCTTAACGCTTCTCACTCACTGCTGCTACAGCCGTTGCTTTTCTGGATTCTGAACCAACAACCTTTCCTTTATTCCAGCGCCTTCCCCCCTCCACTACCCACACGCATTCCGGGAGTACATCGATTCATAAAGCAGGCTAATGCTTTGCAATCTTCACATCTTTGACCGACGTATTTAAGGATAATTTACCTTAAACTGTTCCAGAACCAAGAGGTTACATTTGCAATAAAAAACGTTAAAAAGTCAATAACGGCCCAGCAAGAATAAGCAGCTTGTGTGAAACTAAGGGTAAGACAGGAAGTGGTTGATTTAAACAAACCACATAAGAGATTAACTCATGGTACTTTCAGAATTGTGTGACAGATAAACAGATCTATCATGTCAAACAAAATGACACGTCACTGGCTTAATGTCACTTCAGGTGCAACCGCTGGCCTTTTTCTGGATTCAGCTGTATTTAAAATGCATTTAAATATTAGGTTTGTCCATCCTCGTTGTTTCTATGCTCAAAATCGCTTACCACCGAATTATGACATGTGGCGTGTTGTAAAACGCTGTAATGTTCTTTCATGACCTGTTCATATCTTGTCATAACTGTAATTTATATTTCAGTGTTATAATAAACGATTATCGATAAATGTATCAAAGTTATTTTCTGACAAAAAAAAGTTTTTGTGAAGTGAAAAATGCAAATCAGTATCTACACATAGCGTAACTTTAAATAAAAATCAACAAGTGTCATTTACTTCCTCTTCTGTGTATTATTGTATTTCCTCTTAAATATGTTATTGTAATAATTATAGTTACAGTAGTTATGCCAAGCCTGATCCTGTGCGCACATGCGAGGTCGTTACTCAGGTTATCTGTGACTTTAAGGGATTACAGTTCGCAGCACCGCGCACAACAACACACTTGCCTGCCGGACACAATAACCCGACCATCCAGCCCAAAGGCTTCGCACCTGTAACATACCGCTGCTGAAACTCTACCGCCGAAGCGTCGAGGCTCAAAGCAAAACGGTTCACTTACTGTCCGATAACTTTTATTAGCGATCCCGACTGCTGACAACCCGGCGTTTGCGGGACGCGTCGGTGGGCAGCGCAGGTGAGGCTCCCCCTCCCCGCCTGGGTTAAAAGCTAACTTCGCCTGAGGTACACATGGGCGCAGCGCCCCGCGCCCCGCCCCCCGCAAATCCGGCGGCTGCCGCAAAACGCGGAGCGGATCTCCCCCATGGCGCGGACAATATACTTCATTATTATTTTTTACACAGTATTTCTATGAATGGTCGTTTTTTTTAGCAGTACTATTTTTTTGGGAAACGTACCCGTGGCCGGGAGGTACAGCATCACCGCCCCGCCTCTGCTTACAGATTCAGGGTTTATTAAGTTAGCTGAAACTTTTGTAAAATCTTATTTATACCAACCATGATGACAAAAATGATGGGAAGTGCATCTGAGTGTGTGATGCGCCTCGGAATGGCCAGGAATGCTGCCCAAGGTGAGAGAGCCCCTTACTGTTGGGGTAGTGGGTCACAGGAATCCGGTGGATATTTTCAAATCTTGCAGTGATTCTGTTGCCAGTTTTGAGTCTGAATTGTAAATAAAAGGAAAATGAAACATGAACCCAGCAGTGTGTGCGTGTGTAATAAAAACCTGTTATTTTGACCTTGTGGGGACCATTTATTTGGGGAAACTCAGTTTAATAAAAATCTTTGAATGCCTTTAAGAAACTAAAAATGCCAAAAGTCTTGTATTTTGTTTGGTTACTTGTGGATAAGGTTAGGGCAGGGTAGGGGTTAAGGTCACCATTGTTGGGATGAAGGCTTTTCTCACAGAAATGGTCTGTGGACTGTGCTCTCCCCCCAGCCATAAGCGTGGGACAGCCATGCTCTGACATTAGCTGCGGCTATTGTGTGGTAGTTACAAGAAACTAACCAGAGGTTAACATTCAGCACTGAACTGACTCTGCATTTTTGTGTGAATTTCAGCATCTCCGGTTTGCTGTGGCGTAACCAGCAGTTCCGGTGTGAGAACAGTGCCGTGCCGGGCTTTACCGCACACCGACTCAGAGCGCGGGGAAGTCCGTGCGAGAGCCTGGGGCAGGACAGCCACTCCCCAGCCAGGAAGGACAGGCATACAGGACACGCAGCAGGTGCTGCCCGAGCAGGCAAGCTCCCCACCGCTCGTCACACCCCTTCGACACACAGACACACCTTCGGAGCGGCTGCGTTAGCATGCTAACATTCCCGGCGTGTGCACAGCCCAGACACACGATGTCAGACTGCGGGAGGCGGGCCGAGTCACATGACCAGCCGTGAGGTCATTTAGGCATTTCTCAACATGTCGACACATAACCCGCGCTGCGAGAGGAGCAGGCCCCTGTGTGTGCGTGCCCAGGTGTGCCAGCCATTCAAGAACAGGATCGTCTGCTGCTGGTTCCTGTTCTGCTGAAGAAGTCAGCGTCCAGCCCTCTGTCAACAAAGCAACTGACGTGCCATGTTCCTGCGTGACAGGTTCCCCCGCGTGCTGCCTCCCCTTCGCCTCGTCGGCCACAGGCTTTGGAGAAACAGCAGCAGCAGCACCAGCACAACACGGGAGCTGCACCCCTGGGCACCCCCCCCCCTCCCCCTCGCACACCCAGGCAAATGTCACCGCCTTGCAGCGATTGTTTTTTTGTCTGCCGAGTGACGTCTGCAGGCGTGTGTTTTGAAAAGGGAAAGGAATGTGATCTCATGCTCCCCACCCAACGTAACTTCTCAGGATTTATTCGTTTGGTAACTATAGAACATTTTCATTAAAATACTACACAGCTCACAGCGTCTAGATCACAGGACGTGGCGGGATGATCTTGTGGATTCTGCTAGGTGAGGTTCTGCCCCCCTTGACACGGGAGCAAGTCGGACCCGTGGCTGATCCCAGCCCAGCATTCAGCTTGGCATAAAAAAACAAAACAATCCACAGGAGCATTTCTTAAATCTCTTTCATCCATGAGCTACTGCTCCCAGTTTGTTTACCCTGGACTCGAATTCCTCTCTGTCACATGATGATGGAACAGTCAGCGAAGGTCTGGGAGAGTGAGTGCACGCACACACACACGCGCACGCAGAAACATACACATATGCATACACATGCATAGACACACTCACACACATGCACAGACATACACACCACAATCACTCTGCAGGGTCCCGGCACTTGTGGCAATCCGCCATGTCTTCAGAGTAGTCCTCAATCTGAATGGTGATGGTATGGAAACCGTACTGGGACTGCAGCATCTGGCTGGCCTCCTTCAGCAAGGTCTGCGCCTCAACACCGTCCTCTGAGTGAACACACACACACACACACACACACACACACACACACAGAGTCTCAATCAGAGGTGGATGTTTCAGGTCCAGAAAGTAAAAATCCAAACTAGACTTTTGTTTCAACCAATCAGTTGAGCATAAAGAGTCACAGTCACAGAGTACTCAACTGGTTGGTCGAAAGAAAATCATGGTCTGGATTTTTACTTTCTGGACCTGAAATGTCCGCCTCTGGTCTCAATGCAATGTCAGCAACCTGCAGGCTTCAGCAGTTCAAACTAATCCATGTTAAAATAAATGGCACAAAACAGAGGGAAGCCTGAGCGTCATGCTTCAGGGGTCAATAAGACGCAAGACAGCAAGCAGCTGATTTTCAGTCTTACAAGCGGCTTCAGCTGAGTGAAACTGCAGTCAAGCGCAGACAGTGACTTAGAGACATAAAAACAAATCACTGCAAAAAAAACATGTTAAAGATCTGAATTAAATCGGTCCATCATTAGAAGAGGATGTGTGAAAATAAATATTTAACATTTCTGTACAGCAGGTGTGTAAATAAATAAATAAAGTGAGGCACTTCACTGCCACCTTGTGTCCATTTGTTGTAATTGTGTGGATTCGTGCTTTGCCAGCCAATGAAAAGCCCTTCTGTGTGGCACAGCCTAGGTGGTTCAAAGCAGCAAGTAGCAGGATTTACTCTGAAAAAGCACAATAAGGCACAGATCCAGCTGAAATCGTGGTCAGCAAAAAAATGACAGCAAGATGAGCGAGAGAGAGAGCCAGGTACAGCGGAGGACAGTGACGGCCTCAGGGGAGCGAGGGGCAGACTCACCCACGGTGATGTGGACGGACAGCACGGGCTGGTTGACTGTCAGGGCCCAGATGTGCAGGCTGTGCAGCTGCCTGACGCCGCAGACGGACAGCAGAGACTGCTTCACCTGCGTGAAGTGGAGGCCGGGCGGCGTGCCTGCAGGACGAGGGGCGTGGTCAGGGAGCGCATGCTGAACAGGCGGCCTGGGGGCCGGCAGCGAGCTCAGCGGGGCGGCGTGCCTGCAGGACGAGGGGCGTGGTCAGGGAGCGCATGCCGAACAGGCGGCCTGGGGGCTGGCAGCGTTCTCAGCGGGGCGGCGTGCCTGCAGGACGAGGGGCGTGGTCAGGGAGCGCATTCTCAACAGGCGGCCTGGGGGCCGGCAGCGAGCTCAGCGGGGCGGCAGGCTGGCAGGTGGCCATGCCTTTCGTTAAGGGGACGCAGGGGAGACGACCTGCTTAGCTTCCCTCCCATTGGATGGCTGTAGCCTAATTAGCATGTTCAGCCTTATTCTGTCCCCAGAATTCCTTCCTTTGTGTATATGTGTGTGTGTGCGTGTGTGTGTGTGTGTGAGTATGGTCCCCACAAGGGGAAATTAAATTAAAAAAAAAAATCTGTGACTGCAGTCAAAAAATTACAGAAGACAAAAGTCTTTTGGCTAAGACTAGGGCTGGTTAGGGGTTAAAGCTGTCATTTTTGGAATTAGGGATACTGCCATTGAAAAGAATGGATGGTCCCCACAAAGATATGAGTACAGGTTGTGTGTGTGTGCGTGTGTGTGTCAGTGTGAGTGTTGTGCTTTTTTAGCCAGCAGTGTGTACTAATGCAGGGTGTCATATATAAATGTTAGTTACTGTCCTAAAATGTGGGGGGGGGGCAGCAGACTGACAGCACCTTTGTTAGGCTCCATAAAGTATTTTTCCTTTTGATGGAGAAACAATGGCTCTTTGGCTTTTCAGAATGACTAAGTTGTACACAGCAGCCCAGCAAATCGGCGGCTCCTATGCACATGCTGCACCCTGGCTTTCCTCACCCTCCATTAACACCGTCAGCACGTCCCGCAGCACAGTGAGGGTCGTCCCCAGGACGAGCACAGAGAAAAGGAACGTGCAGATGGGATCGATGATCCTGTACTCCGGCTGGGAAGGGAGGGGGGGG